TTGTGAGTTTGCAGCAGGAGAGGGGGCAGGGAGGTTGGGGTGGGCAATATGGCGGTTTTGAAAGAGACCATGTCCTTGCACAGGTGCCCGCCCACACCCATGCACCAGGCCCGCTGCTGCCTCCCCACTGCGGTCGGTAGTTACAGCCGCCACCCAATGCGGTCACCTGCCTCCTGGCAGACGGGAGACAAGAGCATCACGTTATATGTCATCACGTCTAGACGGTGCCGGTGCTGATCTAACACCCTCGTGTGTGAGACCTAAAGGGAAGCCTCTCTAACATCTGTCATTCCAGTGACACTGCATTTTTTTCGTTCAAACGACATACAAAAATAGACAAATTAAATTTCACATGAGGCTACTGGATAACTATGACCGTCGCCCCGATCCAAGTTTCGGGGACTAATACACCCAGAGGAATGCTAACTGCAGCCCGCAGACGGGTTGAGTCCGAAGGAGACTCAAAAGGCCTTGACTAAAGGCACGCAGGGCTGCGTCGCCGCGGGCATCGCGGCAGGTCGAGCAGCTTCCTGGGACCCGCCCGGCGGCCCCGCCGCAGAGTGTGCCACACCGGCAGCCCGGGCCGCCGCAGCCTCCCCCCGGCCCCGGCCAGCACCCTCGGCGCCCCCCGCGCCCACCTTGGCGCCGATCTGGTTGCCGCACTGGCCCGCCTGGATGTGCACGATCTCGCGCATGGTGCCGGCTGCGGAGCGGTGGAGGCGCTGGCCCTCGGAGCAGTGCGCGCGGAGGCGACCGGCGAGCTCGGCAGCGGAGAGACGCGCGGCTCCCCGCACCCGCCCGCTCCGCCTTTAATGCCGCGGACCCGCCCGGCCCGCGGTGACGTCACGGGGCGGGCCGCGGCGCGGGGGCGGCGAGGGGACTGCGGCACCGCGAGGGGGAGCTGGGGCGTGGTGCGGCGCGGGGGCGTCCAGGCCCGTGGCCGCAGCCGCCGGGTCCGGGTGGGCGCCTGGCTGCGACAGCAGCGGCCAAAGGCAGCGTGCGGGCCTCGGTCCCCGCCGGCCGCCCCTCCCCGGTCCCTGGGCGCGGCCGCACCAGCCCGGGGCCTTCCGGTCGCGCCGCGGCCCCCGTCCCACCCTGCCCAGCCTGGCCCCTCGAAAGCGGCTGGAGACCGAGCCCCGCCCGGAAGCAGGGTGCGGGGCTGCCTCCAGCAGCGTCCTCGCTGCGGGGCCGGGGAGAGGCGCCGAGGACGCTTTGCAGTAGGGAGGCTGGAATGGAAGGCGCATTTTCCGGGGGGCGTCCCGCTCCCGGTCTCCTGCCTCCCGGGCAGGGTCCTGCATCCGGGCCTCGCTCGTTCTGCTCCCAGTGGGAAATCTTGGCGAGTGCGAACGCCAGGGGGAGCACAGCCTGGGGGCGTGGGGCCCGGGGAGCCGATGGGCAGCTGCCTCCAAAGAAACCGAGGACAGCAGGGCGGGC